TGGACCCACATTAGGTCGTTAGGCAGGTAAATAGGTAGGCGTCTGCGCTGTGGCTGTGCGACCTTCATCCTGCTGTATTAGGGATAGGTGGGCAAGTAGGTTGGTAGGTAGGCGTCCGTGCTATAGCTGTGCATCCTTCACCATGATGTATCAGGGAAAGGTAGGAAGGTATCTGTGATGTAGTTGTGCATCCTTCACCCTGATGTATCAGGGATAGGCAGTTAGGTAGGCCAGTTGGCTGGTAGGTTTGTAGGCAGGTAACTAGGTCAGTAGGCAGGTAGTTGAGTAGGAATGCAGGCTGCTGTAGCTGTGCATCCTGCACACTCACCTGAAGACCAGGACAAAATGTCAATGTCTCCATACGTCCAGGCTATATGTATAGCTGCAGTCTGCAGGTGCCTACCAACGTCATGCATGTGCAGGCCACTGAATCAGCACCGTTTTGGAAGTACATATAGGCCAGCCAAAGTATTGTTCTGCAGATGCGCAGAATAGGAAAAACTCACTGCAAGGGAGCCAAATTCCCATTTAACAAATCCAAGCACAGAGATTCCAGGGGAACAAGGGGCTCAAAACAGGGACTGTCCTTGGGAAACAGGAACCAATGGTTACCTGATTATAGTCCAAAAAGACCCAAAATGAAAAAAAAAACTAATTAAAAACCATATAATGAAAGGCAAACTGGTACAGCAGACATCTCAACTCTCTCGTTCCGGTAGTTTCCGACCATAAGATAGCGGCTCCCGGACGCCCGGCAGATAAACATTTTATCCTGGAAAGGTTTATTCTGCTCTATCTAGCAGTGTAAACCTTTCCCTGCTGTCTGGACAGCATGGAAATGAATAGCTAGACTGCTATTGGCTATTTCAATTTGCAATGGCCAAAAGCAGGCTGGCTATTGCACCCGCCCACTGCTGCTGTCAATCAGCAGAGGTGGTCCTGAAGTTCTCCATCAGGTAATTGTTGGGTGCTGCTGCATGATTGTAGGGGTTAACATTTCACAGCACCCACATCATGAACCAAAATGCAAGTATATCATAGTAAATGGTTAATGAAAAGGTGATGGAAAAGGAATTTGGAAGCTTGGAATATTTACATGTTGACAAAGTCCGCATTTTTACGGATAAAACGCGTCGATGGGACACCATTTGCTATCTTGATTCTTCCTGTTTGCAGGTATACCTGATTACATGATTACCTCTCTGTTGTGCTGATAGCAGGACTCACTAGTAGCGGGATGTTACCCACTCATGAACTCTACCTGTCCCTTTTGGCACTCGATAAAGAGTGGACTTTATATATTCCTGATCATCACTTGTGACTCTTGGTGCCCAGGATGAGCAATACTCTAGGCACACAATGGAGGCTGTGATTGTGGACTTACAATCATGACGGTCGTTTATAAGGGCTTAGCAGGAGCCTTAATCCTCTTGCGGAGTGGAGTTGCGAAGTGCATGGCAGTTTTTGTATTTAGGTGCGTGGTACTGTATGTATTGGTATGCATAGGGCTTTGTGTATTGGGTGCAGGATGCTGTATGTATTGGGGTACATAGTGTTGTATGTATAGGTTGTCTCGTTTGTTGTGTGTATTGTGGCATACAGTGCTGTATCTATTAGGGTGCATGCTGCTGTATGTATATAGCTATTTGGTGATGTGCGCATGGTTGTCTTTTGTGTTGTGCATAATGGGTGTGTATGGTGTGTATTGGGGTTTGTGGTGTCTGTGCTTGGTGTATTTAGGTGAATGGTGGTTTGGCACTATCTATATTTGGGGTGTATTCACTGAGGTTTAAGGTTCTGTGCAGGGGCGTAACTAAAAATCACAGGGCCCATAGCAAAATTTTGGATGGAGCCCCCCAAACTGCCCCCAACAAAAAAAAGTACCCACCTCCAGAACACTTTCCCGTGCCTGCGCCGTCTCCTTCTCTTCAGCTCCTGTTTACTTTGACGTCAGAGCCGAAGAAGAGCTCACTCCGACGCTCACTGCTGCAGAGCCCACCATAGACCCCATACAGCTCAACTGAGACCCTGCACAGCCCAACTGAGACCCCACCTGAGACCCTGCAGAGCCCACCTGCAACCCTGCACAGTCCACCTGAGACCGAGCACAGCCCACCTGAGACCCAGCACAGCACACCTGAGACCCTGCAGAAGCCCACCTGAAACCCCACACAGGCCACCTGAGAGTGACCCTGCAAAACCCACCGTAGACCCCACACATACCAAAGACCCTTGCGCAGCCCACCTGAGATCCCACACGGCCCACCTAAAATAGACCCTGCAGAGCCCAACTGAGAGTGACCCTGCAGAGCCCACCATAGACCTCGTGGAGCCCATCATAGACCCCACAGCGCCCACCTTAGATCCTGCAGAGACCAGCTGAGACTCTGCGCATACCAGAAACCCTAACAGCCCACCTGAGACCCCACGCAGTCCACGTGAGAGTGACCTTGCAGAGCTCAACTGAGACCCTGCAAACCCCACCATAGACCCCGCACAGCCCACCTGAGACCCTGAAGAGCCCACCTGAAAACCCACACAGCCCACCTGAGACCTTGCACAGTCCATCATAGACCCCACAGTGCCCACCTGAGATCCTGCAGAGCCCATCTGGGACCCAGCACAGCACATCTAAGACCACCTGCACATACCAGAGACCCTGCAGAGCCCAACTGAAACCCCACAAAGCCCATCTGAGAGTCACCCTGCAGAGCCCACCTGAGACCCTGCAGAGCCAACTTGAGACACCGCCCTTACAAGAGACCCTGCATAGCCCACCTGAGACCCCGAACAGCACACCATAGATTCTGCAGTGTAGCACTGCAAAGAAAGAAGCTCACAAACTAAGCTATTAAACTGTTTTGTCACTGGTCAATTTACCTTTGACCTACCAAAATACCTGTGCTGAAGAAAGCAAACTGTATAGTTTATTATTTCTGTGCTGAAGAAAGCAAACTGTATAGTTTATTATTTCTGTGCTGAAGAAAGCAAACTGTATAGTTTATTATTTCTGTGCTGAAGAAAGCAAACTGTATAGTTTATTATTTCTGTGCTGAAGAAAGCAAACTGTATAGTTTATTATTTCTGTGCTGAAGAAAGCAAACTGTATAGTTTATTATTTCTGTGCTGAAGAAAGCAAACTGTATAGTTTATTATTTCTGTGCTGAAGAAAGCAAACTGTATAGTTTATTATTACTGTGCTGCAGAAAGCACACTGCATAGTTTATTATTTCTGTGCTGAAGAAAGCAAACTGTATAGTTTATTATTTCTGTGCTGAGGAAAGCAAACTGTATAGTTTATTATTTCTGTGCTGAAGAAAGCAAACTGTATAGTTTATTATTACTGTGCTGAAGAAAGCAAACTGTAGTTTATTATTACTGTGCTGCAGAAAGCACACTGCATAGTTTATTATTTCTGTGCTGAAGAAAGCAAACTGTATAGTTTATTATTTCTGTGCTGAGGAAAGCAAACTGTATAGTTTATTATTACTGTGCTGAAGAAAGAAAACTTTTAAAGTTGTATTGCTGTGCTGAAGAAAGTGACTGTTTGTGTTATTGGCTGTGGAAAATAAACACTGTTTTTCTGATAAAGCCTGTGTCATACAGTCCGGCTAATTCTTCCCCAAACATACATATATATACAGACACACACACTATATTGCAAAAAGTATTGGGACGCCTCCTGCCTTTACACGCACATGAACTTTAATGGCATCCCAGTCTTAGTCCGTATGGTTCAACATTGAGTTGGCACACCCGTTGCCGCTATAACAGCTTCAACTCTTTTGGGAAGGCTGTCCACAAGGTTTAGGAGTTGACCATTCTTCCAGAAGCGCATTTGCGAGGTCAGGTACTGATGTTGGACGAGAAGGCCTGGCTCGCAGTCTCCGATCTAATTCATCCCAAAGGTGTTCTATCGGGTTGAGGTGAGGACTTTGTGCAGGCCAGTCAAGTTCCTCCACCGCAAACTCACTCATCCATGTCTTTATGGATCTTGCTTTGTGCACTGGTGCGCAGTCACGTTGGAACAGGAAAGGGCCATCCCCAAACTGTTCCCACAAAGTTGGGACCATGAAATTGTCCAAAATGTCTTGGTATGCTGATGCCTTAAGAGTTCCCTTCACTGGAACTAAGCAAGCCCAACCCCTAAAAAAAAAAACCCCACACCATAATCCCCCCTCCACCAAACTTTACACTTGGCACAAAGCAGGCAGGCAAGTACCGTTCTCCTAGCAACCGCCAAACCCAGACACTTCCAGACAGAGAAGCGTGATTCGTCACTCCAGTCACTTCTCTAGAGTCCAGTGGCGGCGTGCTTCACACCACTGCATCCAACACTTTGCATTGCACTTGGTGATGTAAGGCTTGGATGCAGCTCCTCGGCCATGGAAACCCATTCCATGAAGCTCTCTACGCACTGTTGTTGTGCCAGCCTGAAGGCCACATTAACTTTGGAGGTCTGTAGCTATTGACTCTGCAGACAGTTGGCGACTTCTGCACACTGTACGCTTCAGCATGCGCTGACCCCACTCGGTCATTTTACGGGGCCTACCACTTCGTGGCTGAGTTGCTGTTGTTCCCAGTTTCTTCCACTTTGTTATAATACCGCTAACAGTTGACCATGGAGTATTTAGTAGCAAGGAAATTCCACGGATGGACTTATTGCACAGGTGGCAACCTATCATGGTACCACACTTGAATTCACTGAGCTCCCGAGAGCATCCCATTCTTTCACAAATGTTTGTAGAAGCGTCTGCATGCCTAGGTGCTTGATTTCATACACCTGTGGCCATGGAGGTGATTGGAACACCTGAATCCAATGATTTGGAGGGGTGTCCCAATACTTTCTGCAAAATAGTGTATATATATTTGTTTTCTTCAGACTTCAACTCCAGAGTTGTTTCCAGGATATGTGCTAAAAAACTGCTAACCTTTTCGTATATGTAAATATTGTTTTGAATGCCTTAAATGTCAAAAAACACACAGGAAGAGACTGTAGAGTACTTGAAAACGCTTTATCTCTTTCCAATACATAAATACAGAGTTAAAATTAATATATATATATACACACAGGAACATTTTTTAAATCATTAATTACACACCTACAAGCTAGTGCAGAGAAAACAGACTTCACATTTTCTCAAATGTTATGAAGACTGTGGTGGCATTTTAAATGGAATAGCAGTTCAGATTAACAGGTAACAATGTCCGCTACATAAATTCAGTCCAAGAGCTCTCCAAGCTTTCTGCCAACATGGTGGCAAAGAGTTCTTAATTACTAAAACTCGCAATAGCTTTTTGACCAGGTCTACTTCATAAAGAAAAATAAAGTGTCCATTCTTGAATTAGCAAAATTGAAACCCTTGTTTTTTTTCAAGAGCCAGTAGCTAAAAACCTGATGTTCTCCAGCGGGTGTGAATGTGGATATTTCTCTGCAGATGATGAGATAAAATATATACGATTAAGCTGTCTTCTTTAGTCATCACTGTCACTTCCTGATTCACTTAACTGGAGGTCATTTCCTAAAGCAGTTGAAGAAAGGAGAAACATCAAATGACACGTGCTTGCTACTATGGTCTGGATGCACACGGTATTTACGGTAGAAAAAATAAGACATACACTGATCAATATGCTGATTTTCTGCACTGGGATTTCAGTGCCAAAAACAAAATCAAGGAATCAAAAAAATATAACATTTTTTATTAGGGATCCACCGATATATCGGCCGCCAAAACATATTGTCTGAAAATGGCACTTTTGGCTAAATCCCGAAAGTGCCATTTTTGTGCCGATACATCGGCGCATCCCTGCTTTCTTTTCTCCCCGATGGGTGCTGCTCTGTGTCCCAGCGGTGAGGAGAGAAAGTGTGACAGCCGACCGAGCGCTGTGAGCGGCCGGCGTGTCTCCTTCCACACCGCTCAGCCTCCTGTCACAGTCCAGCAGAGCGGTGTGGGGGCGGAGACAGCCAGCGCTGTCACAGGAGGCTGAGCGCTCCTCCCTGCACTGCTCGCTCAGCCTCCTGTGACAGCGTGTCAGAGAGGAGAGCGGATACAAACACTCCGCGATCGCTGAGTGTTTGTAGATAATTGAGGACATAGCATGTTGACTATATCCTCAATTATGAATGAATAGGAAGTGATCTACATCACCTCCTGTTCATTCATAGTTGTGGTTATAGTAAACATACTCTGTCCTCATGTTATCAATGAACAGTAACACTCATTTATAACAGGGGCTGCAGAATAAGATATTGAGGACTTTGTGTCCTCAATCTCTTTTTCTATTTTAAAAGGGAAATATCAGGGCTCTGTTTAGACCCCTTATATTTCCCCAAAGCCTCTAAAAGTAAAGTAAAAAATATTTAATAAAAAAATTAATAAAAATAAATATAAAAAATTAAAGTTTATAAAAAATACACAAAAATAAAATATTTGAAAAAATTGAAATAAAAAACAATTTCGGTTTCGGCCTGACAATTTTTTTAAATTTTGGTTTCGTTTTTGAAATTTCCATTTCGGTGCACCTCTATTCTTTATCATTCATTGAGGGACACACAATATTCAGGAATTATGAAACAGTCAAGTTATATACTGCTACCTAAAGGAGGATTGGACACACGCAAACAGAGAAAAACTTTGAAGGCCATCCCCCATAGAACGCTACCTTTAACCATCATGCCTCAGTTGCTAGTGTGCTAGGAGGCTGGATGATGTTTCCTCAGCTCTGCTGTAAAAAGTCTTAACTACTGTACTAGCTTTTTATTTTGAGTTACTTCAACCAAGACCATTGACACACTGCACCATTGATACACTGTTGCTTGAGCTGGTCTCTACATAGTATCTATCTGGATCAGTGTATTCCCAGCATCAGCTTTGGAGGCTGCTCCCAGACCTGGCTGGATTGGAACATTACAGGGCTGTCCTGGAATGTGACTTTCAGCACTGGGCTCTGCATTATGGCACTTTCTAGACCAGAGTGTACTAATCAAACTGACGCTAAACTCAGGGGTTTAGTGGAGGAGATCAAGAGATCTTAAAAATGCATTTAAGTACCTTAACCAATAACAAAAATGTACCGTATATACTCGAGTATAAGCCGAGTTTTTCAGCCCATTTTTTTTGCTTATACTCGAGTCAGCTGCTTCACTCAGCTGAAGATCCTCAAATCATCTCTGAATTGGTGCTGACACTGTCCTTCCTTCTGGAGGGAGGCTATTTTGTTCCCCATGGTCCCTGCGTGTAGCCACCGCTGCAAGCTCACTCACGTGATGGACTACAATCTCAGATTTAGTTTACTAATTTGGAGTGAGATTGTAGTCCATCACGGGAGTGAGCTTTTCATAGTTCTCTTTTCATGTAAAGCGCTGCTTAAATTGTAGGCGCAATATAAATACCTGTAATAAATAATACACATGAATCATATTTTCCAATATAGTTGGATCAAAATTCAGGACAAATGAATGTCTGCCCCTAATCCACATACTGTAAATTCCTGTCCTGAGACCTGAAGATTGTTAACACAAAGTCTACCTGATGTTCCAGGAAAAGTCCTGTCTGATTACTTGAAAAAGTGGTTTCTTCCTCAGGTAGCTATTACTAATACAGCTGTACTGTACAACATCACAAGATGTGATATTATATTTAGACTGAAAAGCAGGAGGCTTTACTTACGGAGAGTGTTAATAAGCTGGTTGGATCCCTGGGCTCTGTTGGTACCATTGGGAATGGATGTTCGGTTGCCATACTGCTGAGAAGGGGATGTGTGTGTGTCATCTTCTGCTCCGCTGCTGGAACTGTCATCATCGCTCCCTGAGGAGCTTCCTGTTTCAGAAGAACTGGATCCACTGCTGCTGCTCATCTGTTCAATCATATCAACCTCTGCCCTTAGTTCTATGACAAAGTAAACAAACATTCCATATAAGCAATGAAAAGCAATTTCTGTGAAGAACACCATTTCATTTTATAGTGCAAGTATTATAAAGTATTTATTGGAAAGGATGGACGGAGATGACTTTGATAAGCTATCATCAGTGGAGGTGCTGGTAATCATGTGCTCTGATTAGACACATCATGAATAAAAGGCATGAGTTACACAGAGTGTGGACAGAAGAAGACAGTGCTGTATTCACACATAATATAATACTGAAATACTGAAAAATTGCTATATCTCCTTTCAATTAAACAGCGGAGGACACACTCCCCAACAAACCCGGATAGAAGTTGTGCCTGGAGCTTATGAAGACAGTGAAGATTTCATCTGACACCCTCCGGAAAGGTAAGTATTCGGCTTCTTCTATTGCAGGGGGCAGGTGGCTGAATTTGTTTTGTATTGTAAAGTGGCAGGGTCCCTTCAAGTCACACCAGAAAGCGTGTTAAATAAAAAGGGTGTTTTTAGTTAAATCTCTACCTCTCTTGATGTCGTCCAGCTGAGGCTCTGGAGATGGATGATCCTTCACTGGAGAGGTTTTAGGACCAGTAGGGGGTTTAGATGGTGCCTTGAACTGGGAGCTTGGGTGTGAAGAACGAGCAGACTGTTGTTCTAAGCGTGCTTGTATCTTGCTGCTACCCTCAGCCCTGAAATGGAAACACTTCTCATTATCTCAAGGTCGTAGTTCATTATTTAGCAAGTATTTCTTCACTTATGTGTATGCAGAAAACAAGACATCCATCATTCCAATTCACTCTATTACACTCCAATGTTAACATCCACAGCAGTGCTCTATTTAAGAGATGTTTTCTTGGAAGCTTAAAGCTGAACCAAAGTCCTCCATACTTACCTCCCCTCCAGCAATGCAATGTCTGTGAGCTCCCTTGTTGGTGGGGACACTTTTGCCCGATGTTCTTCCATGTTTTGCATCTTCGGCCATCTTGATCCGTCAGACTTGGATGATGTAACTCCAACGCATTTGCATGGGAGTTCATTCCACCTAGCACCAAGGCACACCAAAATTGTACACTAAGCTGCGCATGCAACAAAGAAAAGAGTCAGATCTTAAGCCCGGCTCTATTATCTGGTAAAGGTGTATAAATCTCAGAACTGGATGGACAGAAATACATTTTTTTTGCAGATAAAAACAGTTCAGATATATGGATTTCAACTGTGTGTTTAGCCATTTGGAATTCAGCTTTAAAGCCGAATTCCAGGTAAACGCATAAATACAGTAATGTGAAAAAATATGTACTCCCCATAGAAATTGTTGACTTTAAAAACATTAAAACTAGGGATATACTGTCACATGACAATAAACAAAAATGTATCAGTACTTGTATCTGTGAGTACTTGGACAAGTATCAGTACTTGTACTTGTAAAAATTGTATCAGTGCATCCCTTTATTTTTAATATTTATAAAAACAAAATCATGGAAGGGACTGGATACATATTTGCCTACTAGCGGCCAGGCGCTGTGTGATGCGTAAATGGAATGCAAATACTCCTCCGACGGTGCAGGAAGTGGTGGGGGAATTGACTGTGCTCTTCCAGCGTGAACGACTAGAGGCAGAACTTCAACCTGACTTGAGATCCGAGGCATTTTATAGTAGATGGAAAGCTTTCATAAGCACTACACTCACACCGACTGAAATTGCTCAGATTCTGACGCCCTTCCACTATACAAAATGGTACTTGAAGGCCTGTATATCACAAGCATTGGCAAATATGGGGGTTGCCTAGGTGATGAGGTGTTTACAGATAAGGCAAACATCGGGAGCTTGGGGGGTGGGGGGTGAGGCGATCAGCACACTTTCTGGGTACCTCTGGGATATATTATAACTGACCATATCTTTAAATACATGGATCGAGGTAACCCAGTGGGGGTTTTCGTTTGTATTCTTTTGTAATGCATTGTACTGGTTTGATCTATTTTGATGAAAATCTAATAAACCATTAAAAAAAAAAAAAATCATACATTAAGACGGAGATGTACAAATCCCAGGAGCTCCGTGTGCTCCTTACAAATGACAGCTGCCTCCTAACTATTGAATGTTTTTCTAGTCTAGTAGCTGGGAAAGTATCTGTACTTGTACCAAGTACGGTACTTGGTATCGGTGCATCCCTAATTAAAACCTCTCAGGAGAGTGGGAACAGGAAATAGGCTTGAAACCAACACTTTAGGGATTGTCTGAGGGTCAATTCACACTTATGAATTTTAACTCACATCAACACATGTACACAGACTGGCCACTGTTTTAAATGCTGCTAGAGCACATCTATGAAATGTGTTCACATCTGTTGTCTGTTTTCTGATGCATCAACGTTGGTGATAGGGCCTATTAATAAGAATGACAGTGCATGAGACTGTTGATTGTGCAGGTACAAATGCATGAAAGCATGCATGGAAAGGTGTGAATCCAGCCTAAAATATTTGAGGAAATATGGAGCTCCTTTCTTCAAATAGTTAGACCAATAAATTGTCTCTTCTCGCATGTTGTTATAGGTATTTTGATTTGGGTCCCTTTAAGACCAGCGTTCCAATCAGGTCCACTTGTCATTTTTTACAGATGGATCGGATCAGGAGCCCAATGTTAGTCTACAGGCAGCCAGATCTAAATGAACATGAATCCGCTTATATCTGATTTATGGACTTACATTCGACTCCCCATAGACCTATTACGATTCTGTAAAGCTCAGTTTTTCCTCCATTCCTTACAATTGAGGAAAAAAATGGACAGACACGGATGTCACAATGGTGACATCCATTCCGTAGTGCTACAATCAGCAGGGGATTTGTGCACGGATCCCTTGTTGATTGTTAACTAACAGGCGCTGTAGGCAACCATTGATATTTAGCTAACATTTGTTTGGACAGCCACATCTTTAGGTTGCTACAATGTAAAAGGTTTGATCATTCCCCTAATCAGGGTTGGAGATACAAGGAGAAGACATTGCCTTTCACTTCCTGTCCTAGACACAGCACAGGAAGTGAAAGGAAATTTCTCCAAAATGGGGTTTTTAATTAAACAGGTATCCCCATTAAAAGATTTATAACACCTTTCACATTCTCGTATAAACTGAAAAATGTTTAATTTCGCATGTCTTTTCATTACAGGGACAGTAATCACTTGGACAAATAGAGGATGTAAGAGAAAACATTTCTTAGATTCAGTTTAACAACTATAAAAGCTACTAGTACTTACATTTAATAATTGTATAATAGTTCTTAAACAGTGGGAACATTCAGGTATTGTAAAAAGGGAATCTTATGTCAACTCAATGTGATATCATCAAGCACTCTGCTGCCAGGGTTCTACAGAGAATTTCTAGGTCTGCACTGCAGCGGTACTTTTAACTAGTACTCCAAAACCTGTTTTTCAGGTGTTTACTGGGACAAAAAACTGAGGGAAAATACCAACAGAGACAAAGGTTACAGTACAAACCTGAAATAGCAGAGGCATGCCATACTCAGATGAAACAGTGGGCGGAACTGAAAGGACTAAATTCAAAGGGACGTTACGTCTACTGAGGGTCGCATCTACTTCATTTTAGAAAAAGAGTACAGGACTTTGTTATACTAAAAACTGCAGCTTACCAGATTTCATCTCAGAGAACAGGCTAGAAAATAATTCCTGAAGCATTTGGCTGCAAAATTACAGTAAGTAAGAAAGCGTAACTCTTGAACAGAAAATGTAATTCCATTTTCCCAAATTCGCCTGGGAAAGTAGAATTACCCTTTAATGAGATAGAATGCAGTTCATTCATCCAGTAAATACAGCAACCCAGAGCAGAATATGATAATGAGGTCAGCAGACACAATAAGGCTTATTTGATATGGCAAGAAGCAAAGTGCAGTAACCCATAGCATCCAATCACAATTCAGATCTCACTGATGTGACTAAAGGCCACTTTGTCCTCTGCACCACTCTATAAAATAGGCCTGCTGACGCTTTTGTTGTACCTAGTTTTCTTGACTTGTATGCTGCCACTCAGTTTTTCCAGGACATATTCTCCAGTGTCATGATTTATTATAAGCACGCAGTCCTTCTGGTAGGGCCTCTTATTCCCTTTGAAGACAGTCATAGGAGGCGTTGAGCCCTGGCACCAAGAAGAAATTTGAATTTAGCGACAATTTAATAAAACAAACATTCATACATCTTGTTTTTTTATTATCTAATTTATTTTATGTTTAAAATGCTCTTTATCCACTGCAAGCTCAATGAATCTGACACAAAAGTAACTGGGAAAGCTGTGGTTCTAATCCAATCATCCTTGGTGTAGCAATCATGCTTACTGCTTATGCTGAATGAATTCAGAGTTTGGTATGGACCCTAACATTTGTGATTTAGCATTTTATACAGTATTTACTTCTTCTCTGAGTTAAAGAGAAATTCCAGCTCGGGGTCATCTCCTCCCCTCCTCCCTTAAGACCCCACATGGATGTTTTTTTTCCATTTAAAAACCCATACTTACCTTTTTTTCCCAGCATTCTTCAAGCAAATCCAATGATGTCACGGGTCCTTCCTCTACTTCCTCTGTAGTGTTGGTCTTCCTCTGGACTGAGTGGCACTCATCCATCAAGGTGTTAGTGCAGCTCAGCCAGGAGTACTGTGAGCCAAGGATGCATGATGATGTTGTCCCAGGATGCAGGTCCATGACAGCCTGGGCCCACAGGAAGTGATTTAAATTACGTTGGTCATCATTGAATTCGGGAGACTAAAGCTGGTCATACACTGTTATATTTTTTTTTAGTTCAACCCGCGGACAAATGAAAAAAAATCGAACAGATTTCTCCATCAATGCTAACGAGCGTTGATTGAAAAATCTGCTGTTGTCATTGTATTCTGACAGCTAGCTGCTGCCAGAATAACCAAACAGAGCAGGCAGACTCTGTTCGTACACTAATTTTCCAACTGGCTCCTTTGATCAGTTGATTGAGGGATGCCAGCTGAAAGGGTGCCGACAGCGGCCCCCACTGTGCGGATTTCAGCCGGTTCTTCAAGAACCGGCCGAAATTTGCACAGTGTACGGCCACATTTAGGACATCTGGGTGGACAAAAAAAGTAGTGCAGGGAACAGCTTTGGACTAAAGGTGAGTACTGCACCAAAAGCTGTTTTTAAAATTATTTTTACAGGTAGAAAACTAAATAAAAAAAGTAACTAAACTTCCACTTTAAGGAATTCTGACCTTTAATTACAAGCAATAAAAGTGACACAGGAGCTTCTGTTTATCATGTTAAAGAAAATTTTGCTTTGACAAGGATTGCTTATGTTCAGTGGTAATTATACTTTAAATTTACAATCGGAATTTGAATGGGACACTGGACTTAATTGCACAACCATGAGTAGTAGTAACTCTCACTGGAGGCAAACACAATTTTACGGCATTCCCTGAGATAATAATGTTCAGCACTGTCACACAACCGATAAGGAGTGTATAAATAAGTATAACCTTAGCGTTGTTTGCTTCCCCCACTGTGGCTTGATAAACCCAGCAGCGGTCGGTTATGACCATGAGAAATGGAGACTGAATCCACAATCTAGCAGCAGCGCAGTTATTGTTGAATCTGCCACCAGAGAACTGCCTGACATACCTTCCTCTGAAGAGACGAGTACATTCAGCTTTCATCGGAACAGTAAAGCCGTATGTTTAACAGGTAGCCTGTTTGAGGTTCTCTATTTGGGCGGCATTGATTGCACGTTTGTCCAGAGAGAAAAAAATCCTCCAGGGCTGATTGAGTATATATACCATCTTTTGCATTTTGAGTCCTTGAAGACACTTTCATCTGATGGAAATTCAGGTTGTTTATGAGGAATATTCCACAAAGATATACTTTGAAGCCAGTCTTGTGAAAGTCATGCTTTAATTACATTTGTATCCACAATTGGATACTGGAGTGATACAATATATGTTGATTTGCTTCAAAAGATTTCCAACACTGGACATACTGCTGGATTCACGGTATACTACGGTAGTTATAGATACTATTGATTTCTATTATCCACTACTCGGTTATCACACATCGTTCTAGCGGACATCATATTACTAGCCACAAGTGGGTTTGAAGCATTTTAAGATTTTAGATGTTTGTGTATATGTATTTAAATAGTTTTTGAGAATAAATATTGTTATTCATACTAATACATGATTTGAAATGCTTTTGCTCTGTGTTGGGATCTCCCTTTGGGAGTAAAAAAGAGGTTTTCAATATTTGTGAAGGAGACCCAAAGAGCTTTATTCAAGTGTTTAAATATATGCTTAGCCCCCATCCCCCATCCCCCATTTGTATATAATAACCTTCTATTACCTACTCTTGAAGTGCTGTTTTTGGCTCAGTAACCCAAACCTGACAAAGCAAGGCTTTCTTAAGCGAACTCACTCAATATGGTCTGTTAGTTGTCCACAGAATGGTTGATGCAAACCATGGTCATTTAAACACATTCCCTACAATCTCCCAGATAAATTCAAATTTGAGGGTCATTATCTCTAATATCTCTGTTTAAAACAAAACATTTCATTAGACAAAAACTATTACTTACCGGGATATGCGGTAAAGTTATGGTGACTTCATCACCTTTGCCAACTTGAAGTTCTCCCTCACAAGAGGTATCGATAGAGGCTGGCTTAAAATCATCTAAAAAGAAAAACAAACATGAGTGTGTAATTCAGTTTAGTGAGTTTTCTTCTCATTTAGAAAAATTCTGCATTATTTAGCTCAGTCTGCATGCTATACGTATAAATGTGTAAAATACAAGTATTATACCTGTTCCAAACTGCCAGGGATGTTCTGTAAATCGGGTCACTGTGCTTAGAATATGTAAGAAAAATTTCGCAATTTCCCCCCGTGATACAAACAGAAGAAAAGCTGGCCACACATCGGATTCCGCTGGAATAGTTTATTGAAGCTGGTACCACTTCACTGGTGTCCCGCCCAAGGTGTGCCCCTCTACGGCAGACCTTGGGCAGGACACCAGTGATGCGGTACTAGCGTCAATAAACTATTCCAGTGTGCGGCCAGTTTTTCTTCTCTTTGTATGGGCTCATATTGGAGTGAGGATGTGCTCCCAGTGGCAAGCACGTGACTCATTCCTGGAGGAGTGGTTCTTCTTTTGTGGATTCCCCCCCCCGATTGTATAGAAATACAAGCCATTACTCATGATCTTTTCCAGTGACTGTCCACCTGACTTTTACATGGGACTACTTCTCTGGGACCTCATAGAGATTGGATATTGGTAATTAGTCTCAACCCAGTGAAATCATCTTTACAGATCTTCTCTCACGAGAGCAGGGTATTGGCTTGGTGAAATATTGCCATGGCAGAACAATTGCTGCAAAAGTAATATCACTATCTAGTATTTTACATATTGATGTTGAAATCAGTCTACTCCATCAAAGTGTAAATAAAATCGCAGATTAGTGTATTATACACTGCAAACATCAGTACCAAAATGTGACTTGAAAGCATGGCGGAGCTTGAGGTATCTGAGGAAGTAGAGATTAAGAAGGTAAAAGCATGTTTTTATTGTTTCAAAGCTCAGTAGAGAATTTGAGTGCCTAAAGGGTTAACACCCCTAGAAGTCCACAAGCTTGGATCAGGAGTAAGGCTCAAACAATTCATCCCCACGCAGCTCCCTCCTCATGTATCATTTCCCCCTCCTCTTTCAGATTGTAAGCCCTCAGGGGCAGGGCCCTCCTTACCAGCTTGTCTTGAATTGTATTGTAATGTCTTCCTTATATTGTAAAGCGCTGGGAGATTCCCCACTCACCCTGCCCTGCAACCATGGTTTATACAAACTAAACTTAAATGGGAGGAGTCCACCCCTAGTCTGGGGAGAGACCCAGCTACTTGTCAGGGGAAACAAAACCTCTGGAATAAGAGAAAGGCAAGGCTCAGGAAACCAGTACCCTAGCAGAGCCACACAGAGGGTGACTGCTGACCACAAGGCCATCCAGTCGGGATAAAAGAAACAAACATTGCGCTGACCCAGATGGTAAGAAACACAATCAAAAACTGAGGGACGAGGGGGGTGGGAGGTGTTCTTAACCTTGTCTGATTGTGTTTCCTGTAAACTGAAGAGCCAATCATCTCTCAGGTTGCTGTCCTGGAAGATGATTGGAGAAAGAACTATATTTCAGCCTATCTCCTGATTCATGCTTGTGGGCTTCTAGGGGTGTTAAACCATTAGGAGATATCATGCACTCTAGCTCTCTACTGAGCTTTGACACACAAAAAATGCTTTTACCTTCATAATCTCTACTTTCTCAGATACTTCCAGCTCCGCCATGCTCCGCCATGCTTCCAAGTCACATTTTGGTACTGATGGTTGCAGTGTACAACCCACTGAACATGAACTATTGCTGAGAGAGGACTTTCTTAGGAAACCGCTATCTATGGTCTACGAAGCATTGTTCTCCACTTCCCCCTAATCACTGGTCAGGTGCAGGGAGAGATGGAAAGATGGTGTTCTGGACCCACCTTTCACCTATCTCATCTCGGCAGGAGATTATTTGATGCAATTTATATTTCTGCATAGAACATACTTCACTCTGGCCCGGTGGCTGCTATTTATCATGCTTTCCCTGCGGATTTCAAACATATGTTCTGGGATTGTCCCATGACTATTAGATTGATGTCAACCTATTTATTTCTCAGGTTACTACCCTAGAGGTTTGCCTTGCAATCTCTGTCTGTCTGCTGGGGCTTATCGAGTGTGCTGTACCAATGATAGCATCCAGAACATTATTAAACTAATAATTAGTAATATAATCTTTTGTATGCAGTTTCCCTCCTAGTCTGGGGGATCTGGGCTATGTATTTCTGCCTTGTAATGTATTTATTTTCAAAATTAATAAAAGGAATAAAGAAAAAAAGTAATTTACACACTTCAATGCATTTTGATGCTGCAGATTTAAGATATGCTGCTCTATGGTGTTTCTCCATTATTAAAGCCCAATTGAACTTCAGTGTAAATTAGCTAACAAAATGTGTTTCATGTCTTACAGTTTATTATCTTTAAAAAATCAGTCACAGTCAGAGTAGAAAATCCTGAAATCGACTCAACATCATCCAGAGATGTCAGGGGACAACAAGATGTCTGAAGCCAGCTTGCTGTCATCTATGGACATGTCATGTCAGATCTAGAAGCCTGAGATAGGCCCTCTGTCATCTATGGACATGTCATGTCAGACCTAGAAACCTGAGATCGGCTCTCTGTCATCTATGGACATGTCATGTCAGATCTAGAAGCCTGAGATCGGCTCTCTGTCATCCATGCACATGCCAGATCTAGAAGCCTGAGATCGGCCCTCTGTCATCTATGGACATGTCATGTCCATGTCCACTAGAAGCCCGAGATCGGCCCTCTGTCATCTTTGGACATTTCAGCGGTCATTACTAAGAAGACATGACGTCAATCAGTAAACACCGCCTGGGATTGGTCTAAGCTGGTCACGTCACTCCCCGGTACTCACATCGCACTGTGTGGAAGGAGGAGCGTGGCTTCTTCTCGAAGCTCTCTCCTAGTCTTAATGTGTGCTCCTCCCGGTCTAAAGGCGGCGGCGGGGGCGTCCCGTTCATTCCGGCGAAATCGGTATATTACGAGCGATATGCAAATATTCACGTCAGCGGTCGACACTATACAGGCTGCGTGAGCATGCGCAGCTCCGTCTGTCCCATTGGTCCGCTCCGACGGTTACCGCGGTGACGTACTGCTTATACGGCATGAATATTGTTCCGGTGGGAACAGAGCACATGGTTATTGGTTCCACATGCGATATTTGCTTCGCAGGACTATCCGGTGTGGGGCAGTTTTGTGGTGACAGGCATATTGTACTTGTAATGCCTGGGCTCTGAAGACTTGCACCTGGTGTACACGGCTATTAACAAGTTTAGTGTCATGCATCATTTTCACAGTGTTGTGGGAAACTAGGTATGTCTACTTGTTGGCTAATAGATGCTTGTGGTAGCATGGAGCATAAATGGTTCTCAGTCTTGTCTTTGGTTTGATTCCCACATGAGTAACATCTGCGTGGAGTTTGTATGTTCCTGACGTGTTGTCATCGGCTTGTTTCCACAATTCACAATGTAGTGGTAGATTAAAGATGAACTCCAGGGTAAGCTAGTATGTCTAAATACAAGAACCTCTGTGCAGAAACATCCTGTAATAAAGACCGGTGACTGCTGCTATATCTCCTTCTGCAAGGTGACTGGTCTTGTATCCGCCCCCTCCTGTAGTTTTCATGGCAGAGTGTAGAGACTAACCCTTTTACTGTCCAATCACAGGTTGGGGCAGGTCTAAGATGACCAGGGCTTAGAGGAGATGAATTGCTGGCCATCAGGATGAGGATGGCTAGTGGCAGAAAAGGCCAGAGACAGCCAAGCAACTAGAATTTCCAGAAGGAGCTTCTTGTGTGAACTTACATTGTACTTTGTTTCACCCTTTTCTCTAATCGTTTCTTATGGTTGGTACACTACGCCAAGAAAAAGCTACACTGTGAGCAGAGTGGTATTGCTTCTCTGTCACTGTGCAGCCACGGGCTGGAGATAGGGGGGTGATCTATCTTTATAGCTTAACCGCAGTAGGGGAAAGTCAGGTCACTAGCCTGGCTGTGCTGTCTGGTAGAGGTGTAAAATCTTAGGGCAGGGCAAAGTCACAAAGGGTAGGGGAATTGGCTCCATTATAAGCCTTTTAGCTATGTATTTTAAGGTTAGCCTAAAGTTCACCTTCAAAGGAGTCGTTAAGTCACAGCACATGCTACCCTGTCATAACATCAGCAGTGTAATAGGAATACATACTAGACTAGTTTTCGATGATGCAATCAAAGCTTACTTGAAACAAAATCATTTTTATGTAGTGAGTGCTGCCTTCTGTCTGCCCATCACTTTCACCAACTTCCTGGATTCCCAGTATGCTTTGTGTCTCTTTCCCTGCTGCTTGATGTGATGTAATCGCTCTGTAATTTTTCAAGGCTACATAGCCCATCATGCATTGCTCCCAGCAAGCAAAGATGATGCTGCATTGCTCAGACTATGAGTTGTAATTCAGAAGGCAGGCTTTGTTAGAGTTATAAATACTTTTCCTTGTTGCGCTCCTTACTGAAAGTCCCTTGTGATGGGGGTGGGGGGGGTGTGCTCGCAGTGACTGCGGATGGCACCACAAAAAGTAGAAATGTCACCAACACACCGAAATCCTTTTAGAATAGCAAAAAGTTCATTTATTTGAAGTTCCTTGTCATATAAACAAGCGCTTTCGGGGCCACGCAGGGTCCCTTCATCGGGCTTAGCATTGACGTCAATGCTAACCCTGATAAAGGGACCCTGCGTGGCCCCGAAAGCACCTAGTTGGCATTATGACTCAAAGTGCATATTCATACAGGGCTGAGTAAAATTGTGTTGTAGCATTGAGATGTTAAAAGGGAACTGTGGGGTAAGTGTTTTCCCCATAGTTCCCTTTAGGGTCACGGGAGGACATATACTAACCTCTTCCCGTGACCCAAAGCTCAGTATATTGCTGGCTATTGCCTGCGATGTACTGAGAGCGCCACAGCCGAGACAGATCCCGACAATACTGTCTGGATCCACCCAGCTTCGTGAGTGACAGCTGACACTGCCTATCTAGAGGCAGAGCCAGCTTTGCCCGCCCCCACCCCTGTCCGTTCTCCCCTCTCCGATCCTCCAGAGCTGAGTGGAGGGAGGGAATCGCTGCGGGGAGCGGTGACTGATAGTCACCACTCTCTGCAGGGAGATGATCGAGAAGTGAGCAAGTGACGGTAAGTGTTCCCGATCTATAGAGCCGACGTGTGACAGCTTCTTTGTCACAGGTCAGCTCTAACTATGAGGATGAGGGGAAATCACTCGTCTCATAGTTCTCCTTTTAAAGATGACCCTAGGATGTACTAAATAGGTTTACAAGCTTCTAGATGGATATGGTCATTAGGAGTGGAGTAGAATTTAGGAAAACTATATATAGAAATACAGATTTCTTTTTAGTCCAATAAGTGTTTATTGAAGGTTTTACACAAACAGGCATACATACATTCACAGAGCATAGCATCCCAAGAGGGTAGCTAGCCCGAAACAGCATGAATTTGTAAGAGAAGAACATGTTTCACAACGTAGCATGTGACAATGGCATACCCGGGTGCAAGGCCCACTTAAGTTATCACGTCAGTTCAGTAAATAAACAAGTATTAACATTCATGTCAGGAGCATTGCAATAATTCCGCCTCCATAATGGAAGCAATCATATTAACCAACATTAATGGAAGGGTGCATTGGCCCATACCAGCCATCTTATAGTATTGCAATACAGATTTATTTTTAGTGTTTGACCATAGATGCCCTTTAAGATCGAAAAATATCTATATTCCCAGGGCTATGGAAATCTCAGGAATAGGATAATAATCCTTTGGCAGGTAGATGACTCTAATAGTTCAGCTGTGTGTTTTAGCTGTTTGTCTGGAGTTTGGAATAAATGGGTTTTAAGTCAACCGTGGCCTTCTATCGAAGTTTAAAACTCTATTGCAATTTATTTCAAATACTGATTAAGGTAATCAAAGTTTTTGTATTTCTTATGTATTTAGTTAGAAGAAAAACATTGTTATTGTGCTGTTGCTGAAAAATCAATAAAGTTAGAGGAGATCTATGAGGTGAGTGATTTCCCCTCATCCTCCCAGTTAGAGCCGACCTCTAACAAAGAAGCTGTCACAGGTCGGCTCTATCGATCGGGAAGTGAGCAGAAACATACACCGATCCACTCACTTCCCGATCATCTCCCTGCAGAGAGCGGTGACTGTCATTCACTGCTCCCCGCAGGGATCCCCCCCAGGGAGGGGGCGGGCACAGCTAGCTCTGCCTCTAGATAGCCAGAGCCCGCTGTCACTTGCAGCTGGGTGGATCTTGACAGCAATAGCCCACTATATAAGGAGCTTTGGGTCACGGGAGGAGGTTAGTATATGTCGTCCCGTGAACCTAAAGAGAACTATGGGGAAAACACTTACAACATAGTTCTATTTTAATTGAATTGAGAACAATATTGTGATCCCTGATATATGTTTTTCTTGTTTTTACCCTGCTGTTGTATAGAATGGATTGCTGTGCCTCAGATGGGGATAACTCGGCAGGAAAGGATTGCTGTGCCTCGGATGGGGATAACTCGGCAGGAAAGGATTGCTGTGCCTTGGATGGGGCTAACTCGGCAGGAAAGGATTGCTGTGCCTCGAATGGGGATAACTCGGCAGGAAAGGATTGCTGTGCCTCGAATGGGGATAACTCGGCAGGAAAGGATTGCTGTGCCTCGGATGGGGATAATTCGGTAGGAATGGATGGCTCTATCTGTGAACTACCTTCCACAACAGAAGCATTATTTCAGAAGAAAGCTGACCAAGTGATCAGCGTTAGCCCTGCAGTGACACAAAAGCTACAAACCGATAGTGTTCTGGTATCCGAGTTCAAGCAGCTGAAACTGGAAACCAATGCACAGAAGAACTGGGACCTGTTCTACAAAAGAAACAGCACAAACTTTTTTAAGGACAGACACTGGACAACAAGGGAGTTTGAGGAACTCAAAGCCTGCAGAGAAGTAAGAAGAGCTCTTTTAGTTTTCTGAACACAAAGCTATAGAAGCATGTATGGAAATACTTGTTTTAGTTTAACTTGGAAATCTGTTCAACGAAGGGGAAGCCCTTCAATGCCTTATTTGCATACACATAGATTTTAAAGTAGAATTCCGGGCAACAAACTATTAAGCCTTGCAGTACCGGCTTACCAGTCCCTGGAATGTATTTTCCCCCTTTTGTTGCAGGAGTCTAAGGTCCTTGAGTCATCACATTCTAGGATGTGAGGAAACCGAGTGACATACCATTGCTGCAGCAGAGAAAGGGACAGGCAGGAGTGAGCCTGTGACAGCCGGCCGGCACGGAGGTTTGGATGAGTGTAACTTTATTTTGACCCTAGGCAAAAACTAGCACTTAACCCTTGCAGTAGCCCCACTGCAAGGGTTAATACAATGTTTACCTAGAGTTCTTCTTTAAAGCAAAACTTGAGGATGACTGGTAAATACACATGTGAAATACATGTACTGTTTTACCTGACAAAGGATTTGTAATTCTATCCAAAGGAATTCTGTACAACCAGTCTTGTGCTTTACACACATTTTTCACACTGCATAGCCAGACAGGTGACACATGTAGTTACTGATTTAACAATTCATCTTCCAGGTTCAGACGATCAGCTTTCATTGCCATCTCTCAGCCACTAGATAGTGAATCACCATCATTACTTCTGTCACCGTGCTATGCACCATGCGCTGGTATGTTGGTTTGCCAATTATTCTGAATGCCGGGCGGGCTCTGTGCTGTAACCCACAGAACCACAACAGCATGCAGTGTGGTGGGAAAATGGTGCAAGCACCTTTCTCTTTTTCTTTTTTTTTTCTGCATCGCAACACATGCTATTCCAGTACTGGCACACCTAGAGTGCGGTACGGTGAACCGACCCTTAAAGTGACACTAAACTCAGGAGTTAAATCTTCTAAATGCGTTCAAGTACCCAAACTATTAATATTATTAATGTATCTTATTTGTGTATTTCTCAGCTGTAGATCCTCAAATGATCTCTGAATTGGGGCTGACACTGTCCTTCCTTCTGGAGGGTGGCTACTTTTTGTTCCTCATGGTCCCTGTGTGTGTTGTAAAGTAGCCACCGCTGGACTACCGATGGACTACAATCTCAATACAAATGAGTAAACTAAACATGAGATTGTAGTTTATCACAGGAGCGAGTATGGAGCGGTGACTGGGCTCTGCATTATGGCATTTTCCTGAGCTGACTGTACTAGAGGATCCTGGAGGAATTTGGTTTGCCTCTCCACCTCCTAGAAATCCTTTTTTGTCCCCTCTATCTGCCTGGAGTACCTGGGTTTGGCCCTGTCCACCAGGTGGCCAAAGGGTTTCTTCAATTTGAGAAGCTTTAGTACCATGTTCAGCTACTGTGCTCACGTAAGCAGGCATTGATTTAATGTTGCATGCACGTTCTACTGGTCTCATGGTCTCCTTGTTCAAGGCTACCCCTTATGCACAACACCACACTAAAGTTTTTTGTAAAGGGAAATTCTCTGCAAGTGAGACAAGTCTTAGCACTCCCTAGACAGGGAGATTAAGCCGAGTGGTCTGTCAAAGGTGTCTCTACTATGGATGTGTTGCTCAGCATTGGGCTCAGGGTCTCTGGACCCAGAAGGAAACTCCTCTTCCCATCAACGTGCAGGAACTTCAGGCACTTAGACTGTCACTCCTGGGCTGGACAAGTCTTTGGAAGGACATTCTGTCAGGGTGCCGTCGGAGAATGGCATTGCAGTTTTGTATGTCAACCACCAAAGATTGCTGCAATTCCAAAGTAGAGCCGCAAAAGAAATTGAAAAAAAAGAAATTGATTTATTGAAAGTTCATACTATCCGAGTACACAGTAAAATCATCCTACACCGATCCTCTACATTAACCAACTGACACATCATGTGATACGAGTAAATAGTCCCTATACATAAAAACATGAACTTTTATTAATATATATTTAAGACCAATAATGATCTAAAACAAATAGCACCAAGTTATCCATGATTAGTTGCAAACAGGTGAAAGTCACTGAAACAATCGATCAAATTATCAAACATTTACTATTCACGAAACAAAAAATATATATACATATATCAGCGCTCAAAATTTCAGGTCCTGAGCTACTAGCCAGGCCTTCAAAGTTACTCGCCACCAGTTGCCCTGCATAACACAAACAAACACACACAGGGCACAACGCGCACACAGCACAACACACATACAGCCACAGCACAACGCACAGGGCAATACACATACAGCCACAGCACAACGCACAGAGCATTACACATACACATTTCATCTGAAATTAATTTTTAGTCTTCGCACATGTCTAATAATATGCGTGTGGGGGGGGGCAGTTTTTACTTTTTTGAAATAATTTTTTACATTTTTTATTTTTTTTATTATAGTTTTTTATTTTATGATTTATTTATTTTTTTACTGTGGGGGGGCTTTCGGGAAATATTGCCTTTTAAAATAGAAAAGAAATTGAGGACACCAAATCCTCAATTTCTTTTTCAGCAGCCTCAGCACTCAGTGAATGGGAAGCTCTCAGCACAGAGGCTCCTCCCCATTCAGACACTGATAGTAAAATATTTACTATTTTTCAGCTGTTTCTGAATGGGGAGGAGCCTCTGCACTGAGTGTTTCTCCCCATTGAGAAATTCATGAATGAACAGGCTGTGATGCCTGTTCATTCATAACTGGGGACACATAATACTATGTGTCCCCAGCTATTTACAAACACTGGAGTGATCAGACGATCGCTCCAGTGTTTGTCCTTCTCACATGGAGGATCGGTAAATATCACTGATATTTACCGATCCCCCGCTCTGCCACGCACAGAGCCGGTCATCCTGAAACTGACAGGATGACAGCGGCTCCGATCTCCAACCCGCTCAGCCATCCTGACAGCTGCGGGCGCGGCTTCTCTCCCCCTCACCGCTCAGCCATCCTGACAGCAGGCAGCGCTCCCTCCTGCGCCCCCCTGCTTAGACGGACGGACGAGGGAGCGCTGTCATCAGGTCGGTGAACAGGAGAGAAGCCGCCCCGAGGAGGCTTCATTTCCACTCGCCCCCACGCAATTTTCACTCGCAAATTGCGAGGGGGCGAGTGGAAATTTTGAGCCCTGCATATATGATATATAATACAAGGGTATGCATGTGCATCGTGCAAAAATGCTTTGTCACAGACCATTAGAGGTAATATTAATGTCCTATATCTATGTGTAAGGATACACGGGGAAAACATTTCTACTATAGAATGCGTAAAACTTCAAACCTATTGTTTATCTACAATGATCCCCATCTTATAGGACTGGGCAAATCATTCATCTCATTCATAGAAATATGTTCGATCCCACTCATGATTTAAACCTCCTGGGATGGGAGATGGCTGCTGCAGCGGTGGGCAGAAAATCCCTTTCTTTAAATTCGGTTGATGGACATGGCACCCACCCCTCTGTTTTTGTTGGCTGATGCAGATATAATTTGAAGTAGTGTTCTACTTTTTTATATTTTTTTTATTTTTTTTTAGGAACTGTGGGGTTTGGCCAACCTCACGGGCCACCCTAGGCTGAGCTTTAGTTTTGTACCTAGTGTCCTACTTCTGCAGATGGCAGCATAATCCTGTAGTGAAGAATAGAAAAAGCGATATCAGTCTCGGGAAAGACTGACATTTCCCTTATGAACTCGGGGAAAGGATATTCATTGAGTACCAGAAAATCTGATGCCAGCAGTTTGTGGCATAGCTGTGGAGTTCTGTAATTGGGAATTTGAGGCATGCATTAGATTGGCCTTTTTCTGGGTTTGCAATGAAAGTGAAAATCATCATGTTGGTTTTATAGCAACCTCTTGACTTGTGAAAGAGCCTAAGAAGGCAAAAAAAAAAAAAGCAACTTTTACCTTAATAGTAGCTACACAAAATCGGTCACTAGATGGCACAGTTTTCATAGATTTAAATGGGCAAATAAGCTATTTTATAGGGTTGGTAAACATCAGTGTCGGTGAACTTCAAAATTACAGGACCATAAGTGCAGCTCCCGAGTCCCAACACTACCGGAGGCCACACAATGGCAACTCATTTTTTGTGTGTTGAACTACAATGTGCCGAATTAGGCAACCTAATAAAAAAAGAAATTGTCTGTAACTGACCACAAAACCTAAAAATGTTGGTCCTGTATTTTTTACGCACAGAGAGAAAGTGGGAATACATTTTTTTTTAAAAAGCCCCATTGTTGGTGCAAATGGCAGTAACTCCCAGCATTAGTGTCTCACTGGCCACAATGATAACCCCTAGCATTGGTGTTATAGAATGCCATAATAACTCCTTGCTTTGGTGTCGGCGACGGCAACAATAACTATCAACACTGGTCTTGGTGGATGCAGTATTAACCCCCGGCATTGGTGTCTGGATGCAGTACTAACCCCCAGCATTGTTGTCTGGATGCGGTACTAACCCCTAGCATTGTTGTCTGGATGCAGTACTAACCCCTAGCATTGTTGTCTGGATGCAGTACTAACCCCCAGCATTGGTGTCTGGATGCAGTACTAACCCCTAGCATTGGTGTCTGGATGCGGTACTAACCCCTAGCATTGGTGTCTGGATGCGGTACTAACCCCTAGCATTGGTGTCTGGATGCAGTACTAACCCCCAGCATTGGTGTCTGGATGCAGTACTAAATCCATGAACCCATCGCACTCCTGACCGCTTGTCTCTAAAATAACCAGATTGGTGCGGCGGTGATCAACGGATGGCAACCGTCATGTAACAGTAGAAGCAGGGACACCGGCACTCCAATATAAACGTGAAAAAATCTTATTTATATACCTCTGATAACATTGAAAAAACAGCTATTCTTTCCTTGTATGTATAGACCGATTGTTCATCTGTTTTGACAGCCAGCGGGCCGACTCACAAGATACTAAAGCTTGGCACAGTGGGAGATTCCTCCATCCACACAGTTTAGCGTAGATGGAGGAATCTGTTGCACTTTTTCCATCTGACCATAGAAAATTTGCAGAAAATCTATAGGTGTATGGCTGGCTTAAGAGGAGATTTTCCATCACGTTTGGAGAGATTACACAGCCCCTGAATAGGACACAACCCCAGAAAAAAAAAAAAAAACCTGATAGATTTTAATCATTCCGTACTCTATCGAAGTTTTGGAGCTTTTGCTGATAGTAAGTGAATGTCTACTTTAACTAGTTCATCTTGCTTTATGACATCTGTTACCTGAGATATGATCTTGTCTACCTAATGAGAGTAACGGAAGGTCCTATTTATGGGTTCTCCTATAACAATGCGAGCTCAGCTTTGACACCACTTGGAAAGATGGGACAAAGTGCTTCATGCACTTCGTCCCCTGGAGGACATGATTAACAAAGAAAAGTCATGGTGAGACCTCTCTAAATAAAAGTTTAACCCAATCTATTCTGGTTGATGTTTATTCTGTCCGCCCCTGTTATCCTGTACAACCCTGCTCTCCTCACTTCCCTATTGGTCAGTGACAATCTGTTGCCAAAATGGAGGTGAGGAGAGCAGGGTTGTAAGGTATTTCACACAATTTGACTGTGCAGGCATCAGGAGGTGCACTACCATGCAGCATGTGATTGCCTGTGACTGGAATAGCCTCAGGTTTGCTTTTAGACTGAAGATTCCTAGATAAGGAATTGCTGGTGATTCTATTTCCATGTTTTCCTTTTCCTGTATCATGCATCAAAGTAAAAGTCATTGATGTGCTGGGGCATTCCTCACCACCCCTTTGTGACGTGTAGCTGTGGAGAGAGATATTGGGGTGTCGGTCACAGTTTTGTGTGGACCTGGGTGATGCCTGGCAAACTGGGTTTGCACCAAGCCCCTGAACATCAGTAATCAATATATATGTCTATATATGCATACATGTTTCTACAATGAAGCAAAGTGAAAAGCATCTGACAAGCTACACCATTCTGTAGGTGGTATGAGATTCTCCATCACCTTTTATATAATTTCTAAACTTAAAAAGATGTATGGAACCTGAATGGCTGCTATAGCATGAGACAGACCGCTCTATTTTTCGAAATATTGATAAATATTAAGTGGGGTCTAACAATATCACAAATATTAATGTTCTCTCTCTATCTCTCTATCTCTCTATCTCTCTATCTCTCTATCTCTCTATCTCTCTATCTCTCTATCTCTCTATCTCTCTATCTCTCTATCTCTCTATCTCTCTCTCTCTATCTCTCTCTCTCTATCTCTCTCTCTATCTCTCTCTCTCTATCTCAATCTCTAATCTCTAATCTCTAATCTCTTCTCCTACCAATTTGGCAATGCTTGTTCTGGCTATTCCAGTTTAAAGTTCATAATATTTCAGCAATGCATGATAATCTATTGTGTGGCTTGTTTTCTCTTCCAGTTTGAGAATCAAAGGCTAACTATCCTAGAAGCGGGCTGTGGCGTGGGTAACTGTTTGTATCCTCTCCTAGAAGAAGATTTGCATCTGTTTGTTTATGCATGCGACTTTTCTCCGAGAGCTGTGCAGTTTGTCAAGGTTTGTATGCACTGGTATGTCTCGTATATTGTATGTTTTACCAGTCCTTCTGATTTTTTTTCATTGATATTCTATAATTAGAAGGAACTCTGGCATGTTGAATAATTAGTGTAATATATTTCATCATTCTGTAGATTTATGCATGGATAGTTTAAATACCAAAGCTTAGTATTTCTTGCATATGAATGTTAATATATGTATGGGCTTATGTACTGTTAATGTGCAGCCTTATTGTCCGCATTTGTTAAATAGCAAAATTTAAAGTGGGCCTAACATTTGCTATATAAGAGAATAAAATGGTACAGAAATAAAATAATTTACATAAACTAGCTGCTAGTAAGTTTAGCAACAGCACCAGTGCATACCTTGTGTTTGCAGCTCCTCCTCTATCGGCGCCTCCAGCTTGTTCTCTGCATATTCTTCCTGGCATTAGATCATGGCCCACTAATGATGTAAAAACAACTGGTGTATGTACTCCAACACCTCTCAGAAAGTGTCAGCAGAGGCCTCTCAGCTTCACAAACATCTCTGCACTGATTACACTGCAAGTTAAAACATGTAACAATGTAGCTTACAATAATTTTTTGCAGTAATCCTGTTAAAGCAGAACTCCAGGATTTTTTTTTATTAACCCGTTTAGTGGGTTACCCCCCACACTGCAAGACTTGAGTGCCTATTTGTGTCTAAGTGCTAAAACAACAAGCGCTGTGACAGGCTGGAGGAAGCGCT